GGACCCCCTGAAAGGGCTCGCGGACCCCTGGTTGAGAACTGCTGTTCTAGATAATGTTTCTTCCCAGCGCTTAGCCTAGCACCCCAATACCTGACTCCTCGCCCCACGAGGCGAGACAGCCCTGGTCCGATGTCCGTACCCTGTGGTCACTGTAGTCATTCCCATGTGATCAGTGTGTCTCAGAAAGCAGAGCTGAAGCACTTTGGATGTGGGAGCCCCTTGCTGGCGGCGTTGTTTTCGGTGCTGTGTGGGATGCACTTTCCAGACAGTGAAAGGCGTCGTGTCCCTATTAGTGAATAGCCAATGGCTGGCGCTACTGCCTCCATCACGAGCATGTCCAGCTCCCAGGCAAGCTGCTGAACAGGGCAGTGAAGCAGGAAGCAGAGTGTTAAATGACATTTGTGCTGTGTCCCAGTTATTTCCATTGAATGGCTTTAATCTCAGGAGCTGGGTGCAAAAAGCTGCAGGATTGGGGGGTGTTTGAAAACTGTTAAATGAAGCCTCGACCCCTCTGTTACAGAGATATTGAGGGGGGTGGTGCGGGTTACCCATGTGGGGCCTGGCGAGGCAGGGGTTAACGCATGCTGGCTCCCAAGAGTGCCCCACTGATAGCGATTAGGCTTCTCTCTCTCTCCCCAATAGCAGGTGGTCCAGTGAAAGATATTGCCTCACACACCTTGTCTCTCTAATACTCTGGAACCCACATGGCTACACCACCACTGCATACAGTGGTTGGGCTTGTCAGCATTTCCTTCAGGAGATTCCTGCTGGCTAAGCAAAGAGAATTGCCGTGCCCCAGGATGCCTGGAGGGCAGGGCTATAAACCCACGTGGGGGAGCACTTATTCTGGGCATTGCCTCTGAGCCTGGCCCTGCTGGCCAGGCAGGTGCTGTCTGGCACGAGCCTTCACAATCTTCTCCTAGCCTTGGAGGATTAGACCAGGGTTTGTAGAGCCACCTTGTTTTCTCAGGGCAGCTGGGCAAACTGGTTTTGGTTCAATAAGAACCAGATGCCGTGCTGTTTGTTCTTGAGCTCTACAGGGCCAGGATGGCAAGCTCAAGAAACCCCAGTGGTAAAGATTTAAGTTCAGCTGCCTGTGACCACAATGTATCCTGTTGCAATGAAAAAGGATCTTTTGGTTCATATATTTCTCAGGGGCACATGAGAACTGATCTGGAGAGACTAGGGGATGCGATCTGCATTGTCTGTCTGCCAGGAAGTATACCATGGCTCCAAAATATAGTCCTGTGCCACCTGTTGCCGCTGTTCCATTGAACGGTCCTCTCTGATGTACTGTCTGAGAGTCTTAGCTATTTCAGAAAAGGGGCATCTTGACTGTAGCCCTCATTTTTTGAGACCTTAAGATGAGATCATGAAGTAAGCTGTACTGATTGTTGCCTGCATGCAGCAATACAGCCAGGGCCCTGCCTTCACACCTAATCGCCTGGGGAGCAATGCCCGCTGGGACCAAAAGGTTGGAGACTGGCATTGTCTCGGTCGCACCAGTGATGATACGAAGGGCAGAGTTGGTCATTGATGACTGGAGCCCTATGCTGCCGCAAGGCATTTGGCAGATGCAGTAATTAGGGCATTGGTAGATGTCCATCGGGTTGCGTGCTGGTGCCCCATGAGTGTCCAGCAGTCTTGGAGAGGAGTCCAGCTCTCGACTGGATTTTAGCACGGGTCTTCTCGATGTGTTGTCAGAAGGACAGAGTGCTCTCTGTCAAGTTTTATCCCCAAGTGTGTAGGGCACGGTTCAAAAACGATTGGCTGTTGTAGTTACTTTATGTTATTAGAGGGTGGGTTTTGTTCTTGTTTCGTTCTATTGTTGAATTACAGTGGCGCCACGGGATCCCAGCTGGGATCAGGGCCCCACTCTACTAGGTGCTGTATACATGGGTAATAGGAGACAATTCTGGCCCTAAAGAGCTTAGCGTTGAAATAGACAAGACAGACAAAGGGTGGGAGTGGGCTCTTTCTCTCTCTCTCTCTCTCTAACCTTCTCCCCATTAAAGCAGAGTGTACGTAAACCAGGCCAGCTCACTCTCTCTCTTTATCGGAGTGTTCTCTTGCCTTGCGTATTTGTTCGACCGCTGCCTTCTGTTCATGGTTGATTTGCTAATTTCAGTATCTGATGTTATGGAAAAATCTTTAAAATGACCAATCAAAAATGTTTGTGCTGTGTGTGTTTTCTCTGGGCAACTGGAAAAATGGGCTGCAGCGTATTAAATCTTCAGCTGTGTGCTTGAGCCTTCATCCTGCGTGGGCGCTGACTGGTTTCCTGGGTGATTGGAGGGACGACACAGAGCTGGAAAGTGACCCACCTATAAAATAATCGGACACAGGGACTGCTAATAAAGGGCTGATGAGCCCAACAGAATACATAGGATCCAATCAGTCAGTACTGGGCTATAGTGGGCCATTAGACCATGGGGGTGAGGGGGAGAGTAATTTTGGTCCCATCAGTGCCTCTTAGCGAATTGTCAGGTGTGACTGCCTGCCTTCTGATGAATGAAATCATCAGAGAGGGGGTTCCCTCCGAGAGAGGGAGGGTCTCCCCATGCTGAGCACTGGAGAGAAATGCTCCTCCGCTTTCTGCTCCCCACACAGTTCTTGTACCAGTATAACCATTTCAGTGAGGAGTGGGGTGGTTTTTTTAATGGATATAGTTATACCAGTGCAACCCCTACTATAGATGCAGTTATACCAGTATAAAGGTGCTTTAGCGGGGTACAGCGGTTCCTTTACTAGCTTTGAGATCCGCACCTTGATAGCAGTACACTTGCGCCTATGCTTAGGGTGGGGAGGAGGGGTTTGTACTGGTATAGTTAAAGCGGTACAACTGCTGTATGTAGACAAGACCTTAATGACTCCTGATTAGTATCCGTAGTCCAGCTCCACCGTGGCTGGAAATCCAGGCCTTTGTTTAGCTCCAGCTGTACAGTTCACTGGTTGCTGCCACATATTTATTTAAGGGCTGAGTAATGCAAGTTGTCTAGAGTGCACCTCATGTTGCCCAGCAGTACACAACAGCCGCCTCATCCGACAGATGAGGACGCCGTCCCTGCCCGCGGGAGCTGGCAGCTGAGGAGCCGTGTGACCATCTTGGTGGGCATGGTGAGTCTAACCGTAGGTCTTCTCATTCTGAGTTGGCTGTTCTTTTACTTGCGTGTGCAGAAAGAAGATCTTAGTTAGAAATCCAAACACCCTGCTTTGCTCTTTGTCGTTTCCCCGTGGGCGCTCCCGAGAGGCCTGTTGTTTCCCTTTGTCTCCCCTGAATACCTGAGCGTGTTCCTTCTGCACAGAAGATCACACAGTGTAGCCCTGTAACTAGTGCTACTGTTAATGGGAAGCATACTGTTGTACACAGCGAAATAGCACGGACGCCTTCAAAGCCCTGCTGACAGTGGGATAGAGCTGCACACTGGAGTAGCTCATTTCCTGGTGGGTTTTGATCCTTTGGCCATGCCTCCCATGTGAGTGTGAGAATTTGTAATGGAGCAAAACAAGTAGAGATGGTCTCCGGAGCGCGTGGTAGGAAATGCAGTAGCAGAGGGAGAAGTCTGGACCTGCTCACAACTTCCATGTTGCTCCACGGATTCTCCCGAGTGATTTATTATTCTCTGTCCCATATTTGTTCAAAGTGTAGAGAAGCAAAGATCTGTCACCAACAATAAAATCCAAAGCAGTGCAGGAGAGCTTAGTTCTGCAGGGAGCTGAGCACTCTGGCCCTGATCCAGCAGAGCCCTTGAGCATGTTCTTAATTTTAAACGCATCATTAACTCCAATGGGTCTCATGTGCTCAAGTCTTTTTGCTGAATTGGAGACGGAGCGCTCATCACCTTGTAGGATCGACCCCTGAAAGAAGGAAAAATGGAACTCCTGATGTATCTTGTATATGTTGTTTTGTGTGTGTTCATATGGCTCAGGCCCGGAGCCTGCATCCCTCACTCACTAGAGTGGCTTTGTTGAAGTTGCCTGTATGAATAAGATCTTCTCCCAGGAGTATGACTTACAGGATTGGGTCCTTGATCAGCTGCATCATCCAGGCTTCTTCTGCCAGCTTTCTTTACATGAAGAGTAGAGTTTCTTGGGTCTGTAGTTCACCAAAGCAGGCGACCGTAACTTGAAAGGTCATGTTACCCATTGTCCAGTGAAAGGCTCTAGCCACAGCTGGGAATTTCAATATCAGCTACAAACTTTGAAGGTTTAAAACTAACTAGTTATCTTAGGCTGTCCACTTTCCTCCATCCTCAGGGCTGTTCACCATGTGACTCCCAGTGGCATTAAAGTAGAATTTCAGTGAGAGCATAGCAGGCAAATCCCAGAGCAGAAGCAGAGCCCGCTGCATGTACATTACACTGTAAGGTCCTGACTTCCAAAACTCAGCCAGGCAGGTCCCTCAGCTGGCGTAGGCTGGCATTGCTCTATAATGGAGCAATGATGATTTACGCTAGCTGTGGATTTGGCCTGGGAGTCTAGGATCCCATGTAAAACATGTGTAGTTAATTTGCACTGACAGCTATCATGGTTGAACACATGAGTTAGATATTTGCAGGCCCAAAGAACAATTTAATTATTTGTGTGTGCAAACATCTCATCTGCATGCGTGGTCATAGCAACTGCAGTTGCATGCACATTTTTGACTTCTGCCCTGGACTCCTGGAGTTTAAATAGTTATTAATTAGACTTTTATTGTTCACATCATATACTTTAGGCTTGTAAACTGCGAATCACACCAAAGCCAAGCAGATTGGTTACTTAGCAAAGCTCTTTTACCATGTGTATGTGAACTTGGCAGCTTGGGTGTAGTGGTCACCAAGTGTGGAACTGTCCTGTAGCGAGATTTCCAGATCCTTGTGTTAAAGAAACAGTCCTCAGTTCCAAAAGGAAGAAACAGGACCCGAAAAGCAGATCAGTCTGTGATCAACTTAGCTGTAGGATGGAAGAAATGATCACAGCCATTTTCCTCCATAGCTTATTCAGAATTAATTGAAACTAGGCCAGGTCTGATGGTTGATCCCCATTAATTGGTTTAGTATATTTCCTATATAAAGTTTCAGCCCCTTTCTGTATGAATTCATCCTCTGCCCCCAGCAGTATTTCATGCAACCCTTTTGTGTCTTTGAGAGACACGTGTTTCCATTCCTGGTCCCATTCAACTGACACCCTTTGCATGGGGGCAGAGCAGGCTGACTTTCTAAAATTCAGAGGACTCTTTCTTGGTTTTGGAGTCTGATGTATTCGCTGCCGGTTACTTAAGGGGGGCTGCAGAGTTGCCGAGCTGATGTATACCTCACGATGCTCAAGCGACCAAGACCTGTGACTAATTAAAACATGACTGAAAATGTTCCAGTAATGCTGCAAGGTGAATTGCATCAGGTTGAGCTTGTTTTCTGGCTGCTTAAATGGATCTTAGCTTAATGAAATTAACTGAACACAAATGAGAGGATTTGGAACAACCGCATGAAAAATAATAAGTAAGGGGTCAAAAATGGCACCGGTAAACTGAATATTGGCGAACCTGGCATGCTCCCCAAGGCTCTTGTGCCCAATCATGCTGAGCCATCTGACACTATGGATGGGTGTGTATTGTGGAGGAGCCATTTAGGGTACATCTGCACGGCACACTAAGCCCGAACTCTGACTCAGGTCTAAGGCCCGCTTCTGTCCACACACAAATCGGTCTGAGTCAGGTCAGCAAGCACCCAGGTTCTAGGACCCTGTGGGGGCCTGGGTCAGAGCCTGGGTCCTGCTGTTACTCAGGTCCAAGCCCTGTCATTTTGCAGTGTGGACGCAACTCAAGCCACAGACCCAAGTCAGAAGGTCTGCATAGGGCAGTATGGAAGCGTTAGCACAGCTGCGAAACCAAGGTCCAGCAATTGTAAACCAAGGTTTATGATGCAGCGTGGATGCTCAAACATGGGGTTGGAAACACTGCGGGTACAACTGGACTGCAATAAAAATCTCCCCGCGAGAAGGGTGGGTCTCAGAGCCTGGGCTCCAGTCTGATCCCGAACATCTACGCTTCAATTTTATAGCCTCACAGCCTGAGCCCCACGAGACTGAGTCAGCTAACCCAGGCCAGCCGCAGCTGTGCTGTGGGACTTTTATTCCAGCCTAGACATTGCAGCCTGGACCTTGGTCCCACAGACCCAGGTTTACAGTGAAGTATAGATATACCCTTAGAGCCAGTGGAGCCTTGCTAAGGGTCCCCAGAAACCGTAGTGATGGGCAGCTTTTACATGTGTGGAGCAATAGCTTGCACTGCACTCAGCCACAGACTTTGGTCCAGGGTAGCCCAGGTTTCTCCATCAGCGCATGCTGCAAAGCTCTTGCCCATAAAAGGTGGGTGATGTGTAGCCATGTGTGTGAGAATTAATGTTGTTGCTGGGATCTTGGGTAACTGGCGGATCTGTTGGTTTAGTGCATTTTTGAAAGATTACCAAGGAAGCCCCAAGCTTCTCATGTAGAGTAATTCATTCCCCATATCGCCCAGGTCTCATCAAAGACCTAACAGCCGAGTGGTGTCGTGAGGTCTAATTACAAACCCTAGGGTTCTGAAAGGTGCTGGAGATGGTTCATCCTTGGCTGTGCTTGCAGTTAAACTACTTGGTGCTGGTTCATGTGGGCCTGCTGTCAGTAATGGACATGCTCTTCCTGGTTTAGACAAGGCTCCAGGTGAAATAAAGACCCTGCGAGCGCTCCCAGCCAGCAGTTTTCTGGACAAGGCTGGCCTATTCTGTACACTCCTGCGCTGGTCCAACTCTTTCTCAGAAACTCAAAGCTAGTCTGCAGCTTGGTCAGTTGGTTCTGCTGACCTCCCACAACCCAAGGGCCCCTTGGATTCATTAGCATATCAAAACTGGGACAGGTGTCTCCCTAATGGCAGTTTATAGGCTAATTGGCATCTCCTGAGCCTTCCCCAGAGGAACCTGCTCACCGGCCATCTGACTGGGAAGGAGCAGAGCGTGATGCATTTGTGAATGATTTACTCAGCACAAATACACCTGGCCATGGTGATGCAGGGCCAAGGTCTGAGAGGTGTGCTTTCTAGGGACAAGTCCTGGGTAGGGTGGAACATCACAGCAACTCTCCTCCTCCTTGAACCCCAGGGATGTCCTGTAAGGACCCTTCTGTTTGGCTAATGGAATGTTCTTTACAGTGTGTGCTTATTAGTCAGGTAACCCGGCTAATAAAGAGCCCCTCATTAGCATTGGATCCTTTGGGAGAGTGTTAATGACCTTGTTGGTACTAACAGAAAAGCTGTACGGACATGCCTACCGCTTTCCCAGTGGAGCTCATTGCCCCTTGGCTCCGATGAGATCCTTGTGTGTGATCCCCCTCTCTGTGGAAAGTCATGCTTAATATGAGGACATCAGTCAATGGCTTTGACCCTGTTGGCATGCTGTAGAGAGCGAAACTCCTGACACTCTTAAAGAGAGCGACCCTGGGCTCCATTTGACATCAGGGGGGTTTCTGCTTCTGGTTGGACATGTGAAACTCTTTATTTTGAAGTGTGAATCAGCCCCAGGTTAACAGACACTGCAGGGATCATGTGGAAACACAAGCATCAATGCTGTGTGGACAGAGAGTAGCATGAATTGTGTCCGGTGTCTGTTAGGTGGCGCCTCACATCTCCAGATTGAATCCATCGTAGGCGTTTGGTTCTGAGCAGTTAGATTACTAATGAACAACCCAGGTCTCTGTGAGATTAATGTTCAGATAATCTGGGTATCAAAAGGGGACTAGATACCTTGGAATTCTTGGTACTTCTCTGTGTGGGGAAGCCCAGTGGCAAATCATTTGATAATGAAAATAGAATCTGCCCTAGCAATGGGTGATCTGGGTGGCTCCCTGTGGTAGCTCTGGTAAAGGGACATGCTAGAATTGAACCCGCTCATGATATGTGGTGTGTCCTGGGTACTGCATTGCAGCCCTTTGTCCTCCAGCTGGGACAGAGGATGCTGTGTCATCAAATCCAGTCTTCAGCTTGAAGTGGTGCCAACCTTTTTCCATCCAGCTCATCTGGGTCTGGCAAATCCTAGTGCATTTAGCTCAGTTTTGTTTGATGTTCTTGGGTTCATTTTGAGCTTGGAACTAGAGCTGGACCCAACTCAACCCCTGGATTCAAAGTCCTCTGAACTTTGCATGCATTTGCTGTAGACCCAAACATCGTAGCTGACCAGTAACTGCACTGGGGCAAACCAACCCACGCACGCCCCTCTCCTCTCCCAGATCCAAACTTGTCCAAAGTTTAGAGAAGTTTGCATGTGATCTCTGCAGTCTGGACCCATCTCAACTCAAAGCTAAAGGTCAAGCTCAGCTTTGTGACCCCCAAACCCATGCGCTTTATGCATTTCTTAAGTGGTGCTCTGCACAACACAGATCCTTTGATTAAAACCCTCTTGAATGTCCTAGTGGAAAAATATCTCTGACCAGGAATGAAGTGTCGTGTAAGCTAGCAGATGATGATTGTCAGAATTTCCTCTGTGCACCTCCTATGCCACTTACCCTCAGCCTGATATGCTTGTCCACCCACTTGGGTATTGCTTGTCTAAATGCACCGCCTCTACCAATGCGGCGGATCTGAGGGAACTGAGACATGGTAAGGTTTCCTGGCACTGTAGGTTTGTTTTCACAGCCTGGGGTTGGGAGTTCTTTGCAAAGCTGCTGCCTCAGAGATGAGTGATGGCAAAGAGGCCTGCTTTCATCATGCTGTGTCAGGTTCACTTCATATCTCTACTGTTCAGTGTACAGTTGGGGCCGGTTGTACAAACCGGCTCCTGGTGTTCAGACCACTGTGGCTGGCAAGTTTTTGAACCAGCCCTTTTTGTACATTTTGACTCTGGATTTCCCCCCCCCCCCTCCTTTGTGGAAGTATTTGTAAAACTGCATTTAAACTAAAATAAAATAATTCTTGTTCATGTTCCACAGCTTCCATACAAGGGATGGAGGAACCAGAACAATCATATACTATTCTTCATATTTAGTGCTTACCATCCATAGATCTCAAAGCAATGTGCAGAGAAAGGTGAGTATCATTATCTCTGTTTTACAGATGGGGAAACAGAGGCCCAGAGCAGGGCAGTAACTTCACCAGGGTTGCCCAGCAGTCCAGTGGCAGAAGCAGAAATAGAACGCAGGCCCCCAGTCTGGGGTACGTCTGTCTGGCCCTTGCTGCCTGAGCTTGTTTTGCCGTGAAGACAGGAATCTTGTTTCCTGTGGAAGTGCTGTGGTTCTAAGTCAGGCCTGTAGAGTTAATTAGGCGAGTGCTAGGTTTATGGAGTTAATCATGCATAGATGTAGAGGTCTGTAAAGCCTTCTTGTTATTAGGTTTTACAGAACTTGACAGTGCAGGTTATTCCAAGTGTGTAACTTCCAAAGGGCACCAGCACCTCAGTCTCTTAGCTATATTTGAAACTTCTCAGAACCAGCGTGACACGTGAGAAGTTAGGGTAGCTGCGTGCTCATATCTGGCTCGAAGCGTAACCTAAATGACAGCCAGTGCTAGGATGCAGTAGTGCCGCACAGGGCTGCGAGTTACATTGCAGCAGCCGAGCTGTGGCACGTTCTGTGCCCTGCTGACGTGCAGGAGGGATTGCTCTGAAGATGTGAGGGCACAATGGTTATCTGGTTTGATCGCTTTGGAGACAGCTGCTAGCTGTGTTCTGTAAACCAGCTGCCTGCCAAGCAGGGTAGTGGGAGGTGGGGCTTGGCGTATGGGAGGGGCTGTGGGGCCTGCCCTTTTAATACGATGAATGTCTGGGAGCAGGCAAGGAATGGAAGAGTCGTTATAAGGCTCAGAGGAGTGATAATGAAAAATCAGCCCACTGCTGGAATAGCTACAGCTGATGTTATCAGAGAGATCCTGGTCATCTCGGTCTGTATGGATGCAAGGAATAGGGTGACTTGTTGTCTAATGAAGGTTCATAACCATGTACACATACCCTGTGAGTGCAAGGAGGGGGCACAGGGGCTCAGCTTATAACGGGAAGGTTTTCAAGTGAATGAAAGAAAAACCTTAATTGGGGCTGCTTAAATCAAGTCGTCATCATGGGAGGGGCTTTGAGGAGTTTAATTTGACAGTGGTTTTCTAATGGGATTGACTCAAACTTGGTGAGGCTTCTATGGAGGTTCATTGCTCCGGCATCTGGCTGCACAGCTCTCAATCTCTGCTGGCTGAAAAATGGAGTGTGAGTGTGTCTTAACCCTAAAGCACCTGCGTAACATTAGGGAGATGGTCCGTCCAGTCCTAATGGCTTGCACTAGCACTGGGGACTAACGTTGATAGGTAATTACCGTCATGCAGGTCAGCTACATGGCCAAACGGAAGAGACAGAGGCCCATTTTAAAGCAATCCTGCCTGCCCCACTGCCCCCCACAATGGTGTAGTCTGACATTATGAAACTTCATCTAATCTGACTGCTTGATTGGCTTGAATGTCCCCGGCTCTCCTGCCTGCTAAGAGGGCACTTCCTGCTGTTGTTGGGCTGTTCCGAACTCCTGTCAGCTTGTCGTGCGACTGCTTGCAAGCTGCTTAACCCCAGGCTGGCTTATTTGTAAAATATGGACACTGACACTTGCCTGTTTCCCTGGCGGGTGGGCTGAGATTGTGTGTCTGTCTCAAGTGAAATCCAGGGGTGGGAGCTGTTGTATTAGACCCCGGCTCAGCCAGGCACGTCCGCACCTTGGGGCCTGGAATTTAAGCACGTCCTTAAAGATAAGCATTGGCTGAGTGCACTGTCATTAGGCGCACTTGCAATTTTAAGAATTTGGGATTAGCCTATTGTTGAAAAGGCCCTGAATTTGGAAATACTGCTGCAACGCTAGTAGGGAAGACCCAGGTCTGCAATACATGCTGTCAGTGCTGGGAGAGTACAGGAGGTGAGGACGTGGTTTAACCGTTTATTTCTTTATTAGTCATTTAGTCTCTGTTATAGTAATGGAGTGAATGTTTGTTCTTGTTGCTAAGGTTTCCTCGGGATAATGGGTGCTGGTGTGTGCCTCAGAGACTAATTACACAGCATCTTTGAGCGAGTAGCGGCTAAAGGAAAACCAGGGTAGAACTGCACCTGAGCCGAGCTAGGGCATCCCCCATAGGTAGCTTATTGAGCAGGAGGCCTGTTAATTGCATTAGCAGGGCAGGTACTGCAGACCAAGAACTTGGCTCAGGCTGGCCCCTCGTGGCTTTTACAAAAATCAATACATTAGGAACTGGCTAACTAATTCACAAATCGGTTATAGATGTGAGACTGCTTAGCTAAGCGGATTAGCAAATCAAAGCTGGTCAGAGATCTCCTGCAGCTCATTTGTATGGCCATACAGGACATTTCTATATGAACTGGCCTGCTAGGATTTCATGCTGTGTTGGCCAAACTACATGTGAATTAGTCCCCCCGAAGGCCGGCTCAGGCTATGTCTTCACTGCAAAGCTCTCTGTAGAATAAACAGGCCCGTGGGAGAGGAGTGAAGTACTAAGCTGATTCCTCTTGAAGGTAACTTAACATGATCGCTATTAATTTTAAACTGGGAGATGGCTTTGTTCTCTACCAGCACTGCCAGGAGCAGAGAGAACTATTCTCTCTCCCCCCACATCCCATCACAAAATCCATCTGCAGTGGTGGCCTGAAATCCCGGTTCTGGAGCTTCCATCTGCCCCTTTGTATTCTGGGCCAGCCTCTTTGCATTTTGCAGGCTAATTGCAGAGGAGAAGCAATAGGCCAGTGTGTGCTGACGCTTAACGCCCAGAGGTTCACTGACCAAGCTGCTTGGAGCGGAGGGCGTCTGCGCACTGAGTCTTTTGTGCCCATTAACCCTATCCACCAGCAATAGGACCTGCTTCTAACAGATGCAGTGTTAGCGAGGATCATTAGCTCAAAGAAAGATTCCAAGCCAAACCCCTTGAATACAACATGCTCCGCCTTTGTTTCCTGAGCCTTATGAGTCTGCTTTTTCTCTAGTAGCATAGGCCCACGTCCTCAAATATATTTAGGTGCCTAATTCCACACTGAAACCATTGGGAGTTAGGCACCTAAATACCTTTGTGGATCTGTGCCACAGTCCTTTCCAGGCTGGATCCAAGCCAAAGCCAATCTGGTTCAGTCTTCTGTCTTTCGCAGTGGTCAGCCCCAGATGCCTCGCAGGAAAGCGCAAGAACCCCGCGGTAGGAGGTGTGGGTGTCATGGTTCCAGGGCTGACTGCACCATCCGTTGTGGTCTCTCTGAGTACACCCCCTGTGGTGTCAGGCTTCATGCCTTCACCTCTTCTGGGGTGGAATGCCACCATTTTGCCAGTCCTACACCAAGCCTTGGGTACAGTGCCCTGGGTGTGTATCAGTTGTGCTTACCCAGCAGGTCTGCCTGGATGCAAAACTTGGCATTGCTCTCTGTGGCAGTCTGTGATCAGAGGATACAGCGACCAGGCAGCCTCCTTAAACCAAAGGATGTATTATTTCAACACCAGGGGTGGAACATTGACAGAAAAAGGGTTTTAAACCCCTGCCCATCGCTCTTACCCAAAGGTTTACCATCCCCTGATGAGAGTCTTGGCAGGCCTGGCTTCTCCAGATGCCCTACCAGGTCCTGGGGGTCAGCCGTGTCCTCACAAACAGCTTCTTTCCCTCTTGAGAGAGGGATCCCTTTGAATGCTGCCAGAATTCCTTGATTCATGTCAGCTCTTGGGCTTTTGCCATGCACAACCAAACCAGTTTGGTAAGTTGGCTGGATCCAAGAGCTACAATCTTCAGAGCTGATCGCTGGGGCAGGGTCTCTCAACAACCCTGAAGTATTTACCAAGGCATGGCTTATTCTGAGCTATTGCTTTCCTTCGTGCTTATAGTCCCCTAATACTAAGCCAATATGTTCATGCAGTAAGCAGCCCAGCAACCCGGTCAACATACCGTATCCATACGACACTAGAGGGCAACTCCAGTTTTGTCACAGGGGGATGATCTGCCCTCCATGCAGGTCTCTTCCCATTGCTCAGAGATTGGTCTGTGCCCTGAAGACGGCTTCTTTCTTCACAGACACAGCCCCTGCCCCACAGAGCTTACAGTCGAAACCAACAAGACAGACACAGGGTGGGAGACGGGTGATATTCCTGCTAGTTTTCCATTGAGGTTCTGCATAGGTAACGTCTCTTAATAGACATACATTGAGAGGGCCCAGGAGACATTTAATAGCCTCCCCCAGCCACCTTTCTCTAGTTGCTCCCTGCTTCCCGACAAGCCGCATGTTTTACGTTTACCTACAAAACCAAAAACCTTTTCCTCCCTTCCTGAGTGAGATCCTGCCCTCTGCCATGTCACATCCAGCCGCTCCGCGTGGCACTGTGGTTTGTCTCATCATACGCAGGCAGGCTCCGCCTGCTCCTGCAGAGATGCATGTCACCTGCACAGCACCTCACCGTGGCGCGTGAGATTTGTTTGCACCTTGACAGTCATAGGGAGGGTCTGTGTGTTGCTGCGGATCCCTTCCTGTCGAAGGTCTGCTCCCTTCCCCTGTTCCTGATGGAGGCTTCTGTGGTTCATCTTTAGAGACGCATATGCAGAGTTACATAGAGGACCCTTCTAATCTAGACTTGGTTGATTGAAGCGCTCTGTGCAGTCTATCGCATGAGTGACTGCCTTAGCTGGGTACTGTCTTCACGTGGCCTCCTGTACCTCTCTGCTTTGGGCTGTCCTTGAGAGGCCTGGCTAATTGAAAAGAGTCTTTGGCTCTTTGCCATCTGATGGGTGTTCTGCAGGGAGTTCATCCGAGTTACAGATTTTTCACACTGTGCTGTGTTGCTCACTGATGCATGTGACTCATCTGGAGCTGTTCCCCACTCCTACACACACACACACACACGCACGCATGCCCGGGGTCCAGCCTGATTCATGCTCTCTAGACATCTTATCCTGTTGCCAGCTGCACCGGCCATGTCTGCTCACCAAGGAGAAGCATCTCGCTAGTGGCTATGTAGGTGGAAAAGGGCTTGGAACATACATAGTGTGTTCCCGAGAGATTCACAGAGAGGCACCAGATTTAAGGA